CTCTCTCCCCTCTCCCCCCTCTCTCCCCTCTCTCCCCTCTCTCCCCTCAAATATATTTATATTTATATTTATATCTATATTTATATTTGCATTTATATTTCTACTTATATTCATATTTTATTCATATTTTTATCTTTATTTATATTTATACTTATATTTATGTATACACCTTGACATGCACATACATAGATACACCCCCAAAACAGTACCAGTGGTACCGCTTTCGCTCCCTCCCTCGTCCTTCACTCCTACTCCTTAAGCTTCCAAAAGGTCCTGCTTGCCTACAGACAGAAGCACCTCGGAGCGACCGAAGTGTACCAGCGTCGGTCTTTTGTTGTTGGGATTTTTGAGGAGATTGGGTTAATTGTAGAAGATATAGGGCGTTAGGGCTTGGGGTTCAGGCTTCTTAGACTTGGAGTTTGTTGTGACTCGGCGATGCCATGGCCTGTTGGACTACTCGCCGTGTTTTGGTGTTTGGGTGCTGGTTGTACAGAAACCTTCAGGGCACTTAATGGCTGAGACCGCCGCACCTGCGTAGCAAGTTCCTGCGAGGAATTGCTAGCTTGCACCACATGGCTGCCACGAGGTGGCTATCTCGGATACCGCACTGAGCCTTTGGGCAGGCCGCTGCTTGAAGTGCTTCAACCTTTGCGCAGGATCCTTGATAAGGAGCACTAGCACCAGCTGGGCACCTATAGGTGCACGCCAACATCAAGGTTCCTGTGTGACTCCGTGACGGAATCTCCCCTGGCGTGTTTCTGCACAGTATGCTGCCGCTAAAGCATCCCAATCCCAAACCCCAGAAGCCTAAGGGCTCAGCTTTTCGAAGCCATTATGTAATATGTAACCAGACTCTACTTGAAACTTCTCTTCGTACCACCCGCGCAGCATTAGAAAGCCTAGGAAAATTAGAGCCCTCGTCGCCAACTCTTTCTTCAGCAACTCTCCCAGAGCCTCGAACTTGTTTTGCTTTGCGGATGAAGGTTACAGAATCTCTTCAGCCATGGAACAAGCAGTTGTCCTCTTCATGATTCCGCTTGCAATATTGAACACCGAACGAACTTTGGGCTTAGTGTCAAACTCCATTTGGCCTCGAACACCCCTCCAGGCCTCGGGCCAAGCCCAACGCGGCATGGACGGCTAAGGGGCACCCGTTCCAGCAGAGGCAGACACCTCCAAGCAAGCCCAAGATCTGGAAAACACAGGACTTCGAGTCTCATAGTCCCCAAATGCTATGTTACTATGTGGGAGTTGCCTGAAGTTTGCCGCCTCGGCTTTTAGTCTCACAATGTGAGAGCTGCAGGTTGAGATGCTCTAGGCTTTTGTGTCTACATGTCGGTTTGCGGCTGTTCGTGAGAGGTGTGGATCACGGAAAACGCCTCAGTCAAGGCAAGCACACGTGGAGCAGCTACAAAGCGGCCACTTAAATAACATGCAGCTCGACGGACAGCTCTCGACTGTGACAGTTCGGCAGCATGAGCTTCGGATGCTGCTCGCTGGCAGCTGCAGTCTTGCCGTAACTTCCCGTAGGCTCTTGTTAAATGGCGACGGTATCCAGCCGTTGTTGGTTTCCAGTGCTTACGGAACGAAGATATCATATGATATCATATCATGATGTCAGAACCATCTGCAGCTCCTATGATGTGCCGCATTCCGCCGTGTGCAAGAAGCTCGTTGCACAGAGTTTCAAGCTTTAAAAGGAAAGTGTGATTGGGCGCCCGTTTGCAACGCTCCCAGCTTCAAGGAAACGACTTCAGTCAACGTGTCTATGGTTTGAGAGACAGAAGTTCAGAAAGGTAGTGCTTGAAAACATCCTAGCATTGAAAGTAATTATGCCCCCCCTTGAATCCATTCCCTCATAACTCGATCCCCCATGTAAACCCTTGTCTTGCCTACTTCTTTGGCAGGCGCTGCGGCAGGCGTTGCTGGACTCTGTTCTTGCGAAGCAGGCGGGCTGTAGGTTTTGAAGCTTCAAGGGGGGCCGAAGCTAATCGCGTTTTCAGCACCCCAGAAAATCCCAGCCAGAATCACAGCTTTCGGGTTTTTTTGTGTTTGAGGGCGGATTCGGACTATAAGAGCAGCCGCCGCCTTCCACCGCGAGCTGCAATGGCTCGAAAGTGCGGAGGCGAAGATGCCTGTGGAGGATCTCTCGATGTTTGAGGGACAGCAGGCTCGAATGGCTTTACAAACGTTGGAGTCGGGCTTTTGGTTAGCTTGAACGGGGCGCTAGGACTTTTCGGCTGTGAGGCTTCGTTGTGCAAGGCAGCTTGAGGAAGCAGCCGCTAGACCTGCTCTAAGCTGGACTGAGCCTCGTGTCAAACAAGAATGCGTAGTCACGGCGTAGTCGTAATCTGCAGACGAAGCGATGAGTTCAGAGTCTTGGGCTCGGCTCAGCGCAGCAAAAGTCGAGGAGCTGTGCAGCTGGCTGCATGACCTCGTAGCACTGCATCCACTTCAGCGGCCCACGGAAGCCGAGAAGGAGGCAGGGGGCCCATGTCTCCGACACTGGGGGGCGCTGAAGCCTGAATATAGTCATACACCGAACTCCGAGAGATCTACCAGGATGTTTGTCCAAAGTCCGCGGCGTGGGGTTCCAGGTAGGACTCGGTAGGACCACCACTTTTCTTAAGGAAATTAATGGTGTTTCGGCAGGCTTGTTATGATGCTTTACTTGCCCGCCCGAGAAGTATTCATAAAATCACAGGTTAGTGAATAAATGTGAGTGAACAAGTAAACGAATGCAGAATGGTTGGGTGGGGGGGGGCGGGCGGGGTGGTCCTCCTGGGCGGGGCTTCAACTACCTCTGGTGGGGGTACCCTTTCTTTGGGTTTGGGGGGAGGATTTGGAGGCGGTGCCTGTTCTCACAACCGATACACCTTCGGCCCGAGGCCTCGGCGGATATTTCTGGTTTGGCTAAAACAAGAGCATGTGTCTGCACACTCACGAAGCCGCCGCATTCGTCCAATCAGCCCTCCTTCACTACACGTAGACCGCTGAAGTCTACAAGCCCTGTAATGCAGCCAAAAGCCTGCAAGCCCTGAATAAATCCCGAGACCCAAGCACAAAGCCCCAACTCAATTAAATCTTAGATCCTCAAACCCAAAGAAGCGCCCAACTCAGGCCGCGCCAGCCACCGGCCCCGAGGCACTCAACAAGCGCCTGGCAGCCAGGTGCGCAGGGCCCCCTGCGTCCGGCGCTATTTTGGGGCCTGGAAGCTGGCGAGCACTTGTCCATAATTGTTTGGGGCCCTGTTTCTCAGTTGATGGCCCCATAGTAAGGTCCTTGGCTGACCAGATTTTTAGGGACTTTCGCGTTGTTTCAAGCAGGGGGAGGGCTTGCTCCTAAGCCCTGCCTCCAAACCACGGTTGAACCCCAAACCTCGTCTTGAGACTGAAACCCTTAGGCACTCGAAGCTCTAAGCACTCAAATCCTGCGCTCTCCGACGATGGGCCGAGGCTATTGCACACCTGGCCCAGAGGGTCTAGAAATCCCAAGCTGAATTGGTATGTGGCTCTGCGGTTCAGGGGTTGAAGGGTTTTTGGGGAACGTGACTGTCCATTGGCTTTGCGCACGAACTTAACCCTATAAGGTTGCGCACGAAGTCATAATATAGGCCGGAATCTTAGATCGAAGATCCGTTCTTTGCAGGGAAACATCATCAGGCTTGTTTCAGGCCGCAGCTTGTTTGGAAAATGATCGGCGACGTGCGAAGGTTATTATCGGAGCTGGACGGCCTCACAGGTCTCCGCTTCTTCCGGGTCATGGATGAGGCTGGCTAGTGCGTAAACGGGGGTCCGGCTTTTTTGGAGGATTTGCAGACTCATTGCAGTGCTCAAGGCAGCTAGGTTTTGACATGGGCCGCTCTTGCTTTCAGTTAGGTTAAGCATCCATCTTTCCCTCTGAGACAGGAGCATTTCAAGTCTAAGCCGTCGACCGGAAGTCCTCCCAACTCCTTGCCAGGGCCGAAAATCGGGCTTCGACATGACTTGGTCAGGGCTGGTTGGTCGCTGCCCCAGACAGACGAGTACTGGCTGGGCGATGCATGAGGAGACTCGAACTATAGTTGCTGTGTCTTGATATCGGAGCTACGAAGATTTTAATCACGGGCTGGAATCTTGTTCTCAGACAAAGTCCATGTCTGCTGGTGTCAGGAGGCCAAGGGGCTCTTGTAAGAACGCGATCCCCACGCAAAGGGCATCCCTAAGACCTACGCGCATGCTGCAGGCCCCTCTTCGCTGGGGGTTCGTGCCTCTGCGATGAGCGCACTCCTGACGCTCCTTTGTAGCTTGCCCCTTGGCTGGTTTTCGGCACTTTAGGGCTCTTGGGTAAGCCGTAAAAGGGCATTAGCTTAACGGCCTCAGCTGGTGCCGAGGTGATGCAGCAAGAAACAATCAGCAGCAACATTAAGTAAGGTGTCATGCAAAGATGAGTGCTAAGAAACTTCGTCGTGACCCTTTAAGCCAAAAGTGCTTGGGATTTGGAGCTGGGCAGTGGGCACAAAGGCAAAGGAGCTGCCTAGCTTCATGCTAATGACAACAGAGCTGTGCAGGGCTCGATCGAAACAGAAAGCTGGGATGTAGTCAGGACATGCTCAACACATAAGTCAGCATGCCTGCTGCATCGACCTGTACATCTGCAGCATCACAAAGAAAAGGATGAGTAATTAGCGTCGACCAGGTGCGCACGGTCAGTCGGCGGGGCCAATCTTGCTTTCCGGTTTGCAGTCAGGATAGTTGGAACGTTGGCATGCGAGAGAGATCAGTCTTTGATGCGTTTCGCCAGTTTAAGGCACGTGCCGACTGAGCCTCGGCTCATTAGGTGAACTTGTGCGATCGTCCAAGCTTCGCAGCTTACCCCGGCACCGAATCTGAAACCACCAAGGACAGAGCGGAGCATCTGCAAGGCATTTGCAACTTGTGTAGCTACTGTATGGGATAAAATACACAAGGTGGAGATGTGTCCACTCGCAGCTTCTGTCCTTGACAACAAAACCTGGACACATGCAGTTGCGATGGAGTATTTGCCTGGTGGCACTGCTGAGGCCACGGGGTATAGGCTCTCTGGGCCTTCTCAAACCACGCGCTTGGGCCGACGCCTTCCATAATTGGAAATGATGATGCTGGGCTCCTGCCATGTCGTGCCCCCGCGACACTGAGCTTCTGCCTCCCTGAGATACTCTGCTAGAGCCTAGATCCCGAACGCCATTGAAACTTGGCATCATCATGGATTTGGCTCATCTTGACCCCAACATCATGAGTTTTCGAGGTCCTGCACTGAACTGACCGAAACTTCTGCTGCCCTTGAGCCCCACACCCTGCAAAGTGCAAAGTACACAGCCCTCAAATCCCTGAATCCTGGTAGAGGCCCTGCATTCCAGAACAGACCTGCAGCGACGAGCCGCGGTCTCGGTCTTGAAGTTGCTCGGGCGGAGGGGTTTAGGGTTCGGGGTTTGCCGCCTTCTTGTCAACATCATGGACTTTGATCTTCCCATAAGTGTCTAGAGCCTGCATCATGTGTGCGAAGTCTGTCAGAGGTCGTCATGCAAAGCTTTTGACACTTCCAACGTGCTGGGGCCACTGGAGCTTGCGCGCGATGGCGAGATGGGACAGCCCAACGAGGCAGGCTCACGGCATCTCGTGGCTTCTTTTGTGCCTCACATGACGCCATGCCGCCCAAGCTTCATCTAGCAGAGGTGCTGCTCGAGTCAAAGATACCTTCGCTCTGCTGCATCATTAGGTAATCGTTAGGAGCCTGCAGCCACATCTTGAGAACCAATCCCTGTGATAGAACAAGAAGCAATCAATGCAAGCTTCAGACGGTGAAGTGAGGCAGGGCTGGTGACGCTGCAAGTTGACCGGGCCCCAGAAGCCGCAGCACATGGGATTCATCCTCAGGGTCTTGGAGTGCGTGAGAGGGTTAGAAGCCATCTGGACCATCGGTGCATTCCTTCACAGGTCTCAAATCTCGCATAAACATTTACGAAGGCACCATGATCACATCGAAACGGTCTTTGAGCCCAGAGCGCCGAGGCAAGCGACGGCATCCGCTGGCAGATTGGCCACGTGCCGCTGCCTCAGAGAAGATCCGCACACGCGCCCCGTAGAAGAGGAAGGATTGAGTATGTTCGGGATACGCCAAGTGAGATGCGGTATCACGGCGACTTGGCTAAGGTGTATAGGGAGCTGCCAGAACGGGCGTACATGTGGTGCTGTGAAACGACTTCGCCTGTTTGAGAGCCGGCTTGCAGGGCAGATCCTTTTTTGCGCATCTTTTTGTTGCCGAGGCTTCTCGGCTCCAAGCGCCAGAAACCGACACTTCTCGATATTTCTTGCCCTTACCCTTGTTTTATCGCTTGCCCATGGCCATGATGCAGTTGGCGGGGTGTCTCGCGACGCTCGCGACGCTGCTGGCCGGGGTTCTTGCCGACGGCCCAGCCTCTTGCCCCAGCCTCCTCCAGAGGAGCAAGGCCGAAGGCTCCTTGGGACCTGAAACGAACGTGACGCCGGTGCAGGAGACCGTAATGAGTGACATGTTTGCGAAGATTGACCAAGACGGCTCCGGCGAGCTGAGCTTGAAGCTCGGCCGGAGAAACCTCTCAACCTTTTTGTAGTAGCATCAAGTCAAACACATGTCAGCATCGGAAATGCTTGCATCTCGCGTCTCTCTGTTTCCATGTTTTTCTTCTTTTTTCGGGGCAATCGCTCTGAGGAAGGAGCTCTTCGTGGCTTCCTTTGGGCACGAGGCTTGGCTTGGCGTTCACAAAGTGGACCTGGAGGAGGTAATTCAGAAGCTGATCGTCGATCAGGACGTGGATGGCTCGGGTCAGCTGTCCCTGGAGGAGTACCAGAGCTACCTGGTGTCAGGGCCCACGCCGGAGCTGATTGAGCTGCTTCAGCAGGGCCCGCGGAGGATGAGAGGCAATGCGTCCCAGGAGCATGTGGACGACCAAAAATCGGAGGAGCGTGAGCTTGAGCTTGAAACTCAAGAGCCCACCCACGAGGCGGAGGGGCTTGAGGCTGCAATGGCCCACGGACCCGCGCGTGAGGAGCCTGAACCTGGCTCATCTCATGCCCTGATTCAGCAAGGCTCGAGCGAGACACAGGACCTCGATGATTCTGCGACATTGGACTTGGCGCGCAAGAAGAACAAGAAGCAGAAGAAGTGGGCGGCCAAGGAGCTGAGCAAGCTGGAAAAGACCCACTGCAAGCGTTTCCAGAAATCCCATCACCAGTGGGGAAGAGCACGCGATTGGAAGCCTCATCACTGGGACTGGAAAGGCTGGTATTGGCACATTCATTGTGGTGGCTGGGACGACCTTGGTCCCTTGGGCTGCTACCCAATAGACCAGGTTAGACAGATTCCTGACGATTCGATAGACATGCTGCCTACGTGAAAATTCTGTTGATTCGTCAGAACGTGTTTTTGTCGATTCGTCAGAACCAGGTGACACAAATTCAATTGAAATCCAACCCCCGAAAATTGTCGAATTCGTCAGAGGAGTCACGATTTCGACAAAAAAAAGTATGTCGACTGCCCACGTCGCCCAGAGGAAGTTTGGTCGAAGTTTCGTGTAAACTTCCGCTGATGCCGCCGGCAGTTTGATAGAAGTTTCGTCTGCGAAAACGGGATTCCAGAGGAAGTTTGATAGAAGTTTCGGGGGGGTGACAGAGGAAGTTTGATGGAAGTTTGGGCGGGCCATCTGTGGAAGTTTGTGTGCTATTTCCCGAGCAGGATGCTCAGTGTGTGGAAGTTTGATGGAAGTTTGGTGGAAGTTTGCAAGGCATGAGGCGAGGAAGTTTGGTCGAAGTTTGGTGTGGAAGTTTGATGGAAGTTTGATGGAAGTTTGCCGGCCGGAGAGTTGCCGAATTCGACAAATTTTGTCGAATTCGTGAAAACGCAGATTGCCGAATTCGGCAGAAATCCTTCGTTTTCGATAACATTTTTTTGTCGAAAAATCCTCTCGATTCGTTAACTATTTTCTGCCCATGGCTCTGAGAATTCGTCAACCATTTTTGTTGTCGAAATCGTAGAGTTTCGCTTGAATCGGTTGATTTCGGGATACGTCTGAAAATTGTCTAAACTGGTCTATTGGGTACAAGAGGTGCATCGACCAGCATGGCTGGGACTTTCGCCACGGCGTGGGGGCCTTCTGCTACAAGGGCTGCCCTGATGGCTACCTGGATGGCAACTTGGGCTGGTGCGCGGAACGCTGCGGCGGCGACCGGGACCTGCCCTTCCATCCCAAGGACAGGCCAAGTCCTTGTAGCCGTAGCCGTAGCCATCCGTAGCATATTGCCTTGAACACTCACTTGAGCCTGGAGCCTTGGCCAAGGAGTGCGATGGCTGGCTCTACTGCGCGACGGACGTTGACGTTTGCCGTCAGAAGGCTCTGGAAATCACCATGGCCTTCGCCTCTGCCGTGGCCCCTTGTATGAAGGTCTCAGAGGTGTCAGAGCGATATTGACATCCGATTCAAAACGTTTGACGCAGGTGACTTTGAATTTGAAGTGTAGCCTTTCCTTCAAATTTCCCTTCGCATTTCCCTTCGGATGTCCCTTCGCAAGGTCGGCCTCATCCCATACGTGGGCAAGCCAGCCCAAGGGATCGCTCGTGCCATCAGAACAGGCTCAAAGGCGGCGATCAAGAAGGCTTTGAAGGCGGGTGTTGGGCCTGACCTGTGCTGGTCGCCTCTCCTACCCTACGATTGCACGATGCTAGCTGCTAGCTGTAAGGTTTCCGTAAAAAAAGTCAAGGCACAGTTGCAGGGTTGAGCCCACGCATTCCACGAGCTCCTCTGCCCCCTTCGGCGCTTACTAGGCGGCCATGAAGCAGATAGCTCGCAAGATGGCCAAGAAGGCGAAGAAGAACTTGAAGAAGTACATGAAGAAGCAAGGAAAGGAGCTGAAGAAGGAAATGATGGAGGCGCCTTTGCGGCCCAGGGTTTGCGCGCCCCACACATGCAAGCGTTTCCAGAAATCCCATCACCAGTGGGGAAGGGCACGCGATTGGAAGCCTCATCACTGGGACTGGAAAGGCTGGTATTGGCACATTCATTGTGGTGGCTGGGACGACCTTGGTCCCTTGGGCTGCTACACGAGGTGCATCGACCAGCATGGCTGGGACTTTCGCCACGGCGTGGGGGCCTTCTGCTACAAGGGCTGCCCTGATGGCTACCTGGATGGCAACTTGGGCTGGTGCGCGGAAAGCTGCGGCGGCGACCGGGACCTGCCCTTCCATCCCAAGGACAGGCCAAGTCCTTGTAGCCGTAGCCGTAGCCATCCGTAGCATATTGCCTTGAACGCTCACTTGAGCCTTGGAGCCTTGGCCAAGGAGTGCGATGGCTGGCTCTACTGCGCGACGGACGTTGACGTTTGCCGTCAGAAGGCTCTGGAAATCACCATGGCCTTCGCCTCTGCCGTGGCCCCTTGTATGAAGGTCTCAGAGGTGTCAGAGCGATATTGACATCCGATTCAAAACGTTTGACGCAGGTGACTTTGAATTTGAAGTGTAGCCTTTCCTTCAAATTTCCCTTCGCATTTCCCTTCGGATGTCCCTTCGCAAGGTCGGCCTCATCCCATACGTGGGCAAGCCAGCCCAAGGGATCGCTCGTGCCATCAGAACAGGCTCAAAGGCGGCGATCAAGAAGGCTTTGAAGGCGGGTGTTGGGCCTGACCTGTGCTGGTCGCCTCTCCTACCCTACGATTGCACGATGCTAGCTGCTAGCTGTAAGGTTTCCGTTATAAAAAGTCAAGGCACAGTTGCAGGGTTGAGCCCACGCGTTCCACGAGCTCCTCTGCCCCCTTCGGCGCTTACTAGGCGGCCATGAAGCAGATAGCTCGCAAGATGGCCAAGAAGGCGAAGAAGAACTTGAAGAAGTACATGAAGAAGCAAGGAAAGGAGCTGAAGAAGGAAATGATGGAGGCGCCTTTGCGGCCCAGGGTTTGCGCGCCCCATACATCCCCATACACAACCAACGCACGAGCGCACACACACGTACACAAAACCCGTTATTCACGTAGAAGGCACCAGAAACTCCAGAAGAGCTTCGCTTGCAGCTTCCCTCGCCACTTCCCTCGCCTGAAACGGGGCCCTTGTGCCTTCCAGGCCATCTTGGATGGCGGCGCGGAGGAATTGGCGGCCACTGCGATCCAGGAGCACTATCCCGACGTGGTGCCTTGACCTAAACTGTGGAATCGGCAGGTTGCAGACTTTTTCACGAATGCTTCGTGAGGCTTATTGAGGCCTGAGGCTTTCCCCCATATTATTCCCACAGTGGGTGTCAATGTTTCCCGGTTTCCTTGCTTTCCAGGCGGATGAGCTGGCAGAACTGGCGGCCGCCGTGGACCCCACGGGCGTCGCCGACATTGTGGCGGCCTTCGACGCCGAGGATTGCACCAACATCAAGGCCGGCGGCCGCCACAGAAAGGGCTTCTGTGGGGGACCTTGTGGGATGTTTAAGCGGAGTTCATCAGACACAAAGTAGAAACTTGGCAAAAAAGAACATGAACGCATCGAAGGGTGAAGAGAGCCTCTCCAGTCAGGGGTCAAGAGTGATCAGAATACGAAGTGTTTGGCCCGTGTTGGCCCTGGCACAGGTCGCGCAGATGCCGGAGGACGGCGTGGAGGACGAGGTGAAGCCCCCGGACCCGGAGACAGCGGTGATGCACAGCGTGAAGCTTGGTCGAGGTTGTTCACAACTTTGTCAAGACAGGGCAGGGTGAGATGTCTAAGCGCGCTATGTCACTATGTGCCTATTGTGATTGGGGATTGAGATTGTTTGTCGTGACTTTCTTATACCAGTGTCCATGGTTGGGTACCGGGTTGACGTACATGTTGACATGTGTCTTGACACCCAGGAACACGTGCTGGCAGTGCAACGTGAACTTCTGTGACCACACCCTGTGGGTGGATCAGAGCGACGACGCCATCGAGGGCCTCCACGCCGGGCATGACATGCAGTCTTGGGGATGCCACAAATTCGAGGCCTCGGAGTATTCGGTGATCCATCACGGTGGCAATGTCATGGTCGTGGAAGAGGACGGAGTGGCAGCCGGGTCGCGGAGA